ATTTATAGAGGTAACCGCTACCTTGTGGAGTTTCATCTCTTGACACACACAGGTACCCGCTACTTTGTAAAGTTTGATTTTCTAACTCATATAGAGGTAGCCGCGGCCTTAAAAATTGTAGAGTTTTATCTCCAAACAAATGACTAGTCACACGCTGCCCTGCAGAGTTTTAGTTTGTCTTATTAAGGCCAAATACGACATGAAATATTTACGAGAAAAAATGTTTTTGTTACACACACATCGTTCCGTCAATGTATGCACATGTACAAATATATTAAAAATAAAACTGGTACATGCGTTGAATGAGCTTCGTTTGTGTTAGATTTTATTCATAAATTTATAAATTCGCAGCACGAAATAGTTCTGTAAACATTAATTTATTAATAATCCTGGCGACGATATGTATCTCATGTATAAGTTGTAATAAATTCATTTATTAAAGTCTCGTCAATGCAACTACGAATATATATTACAAATATATCTACATATCACATTTGTAGCATGACTTCAAATTTGTAAGACAAAAAATCGAAGCGACACTGGATGGTGCGCAAAAATAGTTCTTTATTTTATATTCATATGTCATTATGGAATTGTTTTTACCCATTCAGTTATAATTTCTCATAAATATATCCTGAGGTTAACATATAGTTTAATTAGTTGCCGTGTGAATGACAGCATTATATAAACGTTAAAAGGGCTGTGGTGGATATAACAGACATATATACACATATATACGTCATGTCGTGTATATAACAGAGTTATATGCACGACATGAATCTTGTCGTGTATATAAGAGCATTATATACACGTCGTCGTATATAGCCACAGCCAATGTACATGTCAGAAATAACGCTGTAACAGCCGAATACGTGGTATTTATTACTCAGTGTAACATTCATACTGCATACTGATTTGTGCTGCAACTTTGAAGAACATAGCAGTCACTTAAATTCACCATCTTTATTGCCACAATGATGTTTTGGCTTCCTTCAGATGGCTGCTTGCTGGAATTTAATTGACTTTGATGCCACAGACCCACCCCATGACTGGAGGATATCATGTGCTTTCCATTGTCAAAAAGGATCAGCAGGAAAGAATGACGGATTTTGTTCCCACTTTTGATAAGTCATGTATGTGTTGAAGCACTTAATCTTCAGTTACACCTCATATTTCGGTGGTATCTCATGCGTTAGATGTGTTTTTTTGGCAGAATATAAAGCACTTCATCCCCATCCTCCCCGGCCGGTACAAAAAACCTCATGGAGACATGAAGCGATACACTATTACTGAGGGATGAGGCACCAGAAACCGACACATATGAAGATGGCGGAACGTCTCACCCAGCACAATGAAACAGCCAACACACCTCGCAGTGCTGGTGACTTGTGTCAGAACCAGAACCAGACAGGGCGTCACCCGCTCAAATGGGACAAAACAGGATGTGTATCGAAGTTCGTCAATTCGACCAGTATGTTGTACGGGTAGACGGATCAGGTAGAGTGACCCTACGCAATAGGGAAGCTTCTGAGGAAGTACATCCCTGCTTTCCAACCTCCATCTAGACGCTCAATCGCTGATGACTTGCCACGGCCACAAACATCTACCCTTGACAATACGACCACCCCAATACTACGTCCACACCCGGTCGTAGTCAACGTCAGAACACTTGACCACACCTACAACAGTCTCTACCGGTGACGAACAACGCACCCTGCATACAACAAAGCCGATGCTGTCCAGACCAGCCGCGACACTTGATGTCTCACTATCTCCACCACACCTCACCTGACAGATCCCAATCCACTCTGTCCTGAGATCGATGATCATGCTGTTCACTGGGTTGTCTGTCCAGACTCGATTATTTACAGACTGCCGCCATATAGTGGAATATTGAGTGCGGCGTAAAACTAAACTCACTCACTCACCACAGAGAAAGCATGACATGAAAGCTTCCTTCGGGAGTGAGCTGCACTTTTAAATTGAAATCGCATGCTGGCTACCTAACACCTGAACACTATCAAATCACTTGGACAAATCTGGAAGAAGCCGATGATACCACAATCACCATCAGTTGGTGGGAGAACGGGTTGCCTCGTCGTCAATGTCGTCCAGGGACATATGGAGTCACAGCTGACAGTGTTGACTGTGAAGACAGGTGAGGGTAGATGAACACTATCATCCCGTCCGCACCACACACCATCAAATGATGGGCATTTCTGTCGAGACGACTTTTTGATTACTAGGGTGCGCTTTGATGATCTGTTCGTCTGAAGCGCCGCTACAAGTCAAGCTGTGCAGAGTTGCGGCCCTTAGGTAATACGCTAGAAAACTGATTCCGCTTTCGTCCCGATACCGTTTCAGGTTTGTCAACACTATACCCCTATAGTGATGTAGTAAAATGTGTGATACCTGTATCAGGGGCTGTCATTCCACATTAATGACAAGCCGCGATGCATCGTGAATACTGTTCAAAGCGGAGTTAAACCCTGCTCACTTCACTTACCCACTCAAGCCCACCTTCACTTACTCACTCACTATTATAGTCCTCCAAGCTCGGTGGGGAATCACTGTTAACACGGACGCAACAACAAATACCGTAGGTATTTGAGAATAGTTTATAACCAAAAACAACCAGATGCTGTATATACTCTTCCAAAAGAAACTTGACATGCTGTTTTGGAGTTAATTACTGAGTGCATATAACTGATTTTAAGCATGACATCGTTGCTCCAATTACAGTAAAATCACCAATGTACAAATTTCCAAAACCATGACTTTCCAGAAAGTGTTTGGTAAAACCATGAGCACCATGGGTATCACCGATAACAGTTTGGCAGCGGCGAAGAAAGAAAGATGCGAATGCTGTCTTGAGGAATGTTTTGATACTCTTGCTGAAGAACTGTGTGCAGTTCTTCAGTAGCGCCTGAGGTGGCGGGTTACGCTTGCGTCGATCACGAGTATCCCGCAGATGTTCCATTGGGGACGAATCGTGTGATCGAGAAGGCCAAGGTAACACCTGAACATTGTTTTGCTGGTCCTGTCAAACACGTGCAACGTAGAGGTCTGAATATTGTCATGCTCCAACCGTTGACGTTGATGAAGGGTCCGATGTGACGCTGAACTGGTCTTCGGGAAAAAGTCTGGCTTCCCAAAGCCAATTGCGCCTGTCTGGTCGGAGATCTGACGCAATCCAGGGATTTGGGTTGTTGTGGATGATGCGGCCGTGGTGCGTGAACGAAGATGTCTCAACCGGATGTAGCGATCCAGGGCGGCGGTGGTAACTCAGGTCGACCTCACCTGGGTCTGTCATTAACATTCCCAATATATTGTATCGGGTCCATAGGTTTGAGATGGTCTGTCTGGACACGCTGAAGTGCCTTGCCACCATGCTGCGATGCCCGTCCTTGTAAACGGGCCGATGGCGTTGTGTCGTTGAGCTTCTGTCAGTCTTTTCATTCTCTGGTCGCGTATAGTGGCTTAAAGCAATGCATCCAATAATGAATACCATTGGTGTGGCTTTTAAAGTCTACAGTCATAGGCTTCAGCTGAGGTGACGATACACAATTTCACGATACGTGCAGTTCATGTAGGTGCGTTTTAGCGATTCACTACAGACGTGAATGTGTAACGTTACGGTTTTTGTTCAACGTTTCTTTTTGCAAACGTTTTGTCGTCGGCAACCATTGCCCCACAGGGGATTCCGCATGGAATGGTTTGTGTCAAATATTTTCCTTAAATACAAATTTGTCCATGTCAAGTTTCTTTTTTTTGAAGAGTATATAAAATTAAAAAAATAATACGGTTATGGTGGTGACCCCGGTGAATGGAGAATGGAGAGTCGATAACTTGTGTTGGCTCTAGGAGGATTAATTCGTTAGTGAGCCCCTGTATACAATAACACTATACAATAGCACGCAATAGCACTAAACAACTCAGTAAGAAGACAACACTTATCGATTGTATTTTTGCTACAGGGCTGGAAACGACATACCGCTGTGTAGTGAGTGAGTGAGTTTAGCTTTACGCCGCACTCAGCAATATTCCAGCTATATGGCGGCGGTCTGTAAATAATCGAGTCTGGACCAGACAATCCAGTGACCAACAGCATGAGCATCGATCTGCGCAATTGGAAACCGATGACATGTGTCAACCAAGTCAGCGGAGCCTGACCACCCGTTCCCGTCAGTCGCCTCTACGACAAGCATAGTCGCCTTTTTGTGGCGCGCTTGGGTTGTTGAAGACATATTCTACCCCATCTTCACGGGTATCGCGGTGTATTTATATTCACTCGGGAAATACGGTTCGCTCGGTTTTCGTACCGAAAATATTATCTTACACACCTTATGCATTTGCTGGAATGGCATTACAAATATTCCATGTAACTTAATTTCTAGATGACATCTTTCTTCATGTGGCTACCGTTTCTGACATTTCTGTGCCAAAGTACCATTGTCAACAACTCATGCTAATCTGATCGATGAACGAGTTCGTGTAAAGGCATCTTTCGTTTGGGTTCCAGAAGATTTCTTCTGGGAACTTTAATTTTTATTGTTAATTAACCGAACCGAAATGTACCGAACCGAGAGCTGTGTACCGCAATACGTACCGAAACGTGGCATGGGCGTACCGTTGCAACCCCATTTTTTGCATACCTTGAAGCATACATGTGTTCAACGGAGTGAATATAAACCGGCACTACAGCTTCTGTGTATATCAACAACACCACACAGCACACAAGCCCCCAGAATACAAATAAATTATTAATCTCTTGCTTTCACGCCCCTCGAAAGCAAATTCAACTCCATCGAGAAATGATGTAACAGATGTGGGACAGATCTTGCGTCGCCAGGTCTACCGATCTATGGCATAATAATACCTTCATTCTTTCCTCATCCCCTGCAGGTGTCGCATGATCGAACTCAATCGATGCTTCATTCTTGATTAGCAACTGAATCAGGCTGTCGTCAGCTCCGCCCACCTGAGCAAATTCTATCAAACTGTTCTTGCCCTTGCACCACGACTTGACTAGTTTGTTTACCCGGAATCTGTTGTTATCTGCCACCGATTACCACAAACAGAAGTTCTAAGGTAAGACCGATACTCTGCCGCGAAATACCCTGCGTGTTTGGCTATAAGTTCTTCGTCGTCAGTTTGTTGTTGCCAACCTCGCCATGTCGCCATGTTTAACTGGGATATATCGTAAGGTAGCAGTGCGAGTAAATACTGATAATGGTCACGATTGGCCATCCTCGATAATCTACAGGGTATAGGTTCTGATAAATCTTCACAAGTATAGTGGAGATTTGTCGTAACGTCTGCCCTGGAGATTATCGAGGATTAGTAGACAGCAGCATTTGTTGATTTTGAGTGTACTTTCAGAATTTGTTTAAGAACTTGAGATGAATACGTCCAATGTCAGTAGCGAATGTTGTTCCCCATCCATAGTTCATGGTGCTTGAGAGTGCGAAGAGTAACAGGCTTGGTCAAGTGCATCCGCTGCACATATGCAGCTTGGAATGTGTTGGGGTGAGATGTGTTTTTCTATTGAAGGGGAACACAAGCACTTGATTTTCCACTACTATTCGCAAATGAGATCAGATAAGCAATCAGTATGAGTCAGGATAGGTGTTTGCACTTAATCAACTGATATTTACCATTAAACAATAAAACCAATTAAGTATGATTTGTACCGGAAAATATGACTGCTCCCTTGTGAAAGAAAGTCTGAAGTATTTCCCACACTCCGGTACAGCGATGACTTAACATAACGTCACTGCCACAGGCTAATTTGCATATCACGTGACCGGACTTTTCTCTTGTTTGTAATCAAACGCGCATATTCATAATAAGAAGAGACTGAACTCACGAAAGCTTTCCGGCGTTCTTTTCATATTGTTTTACATTGTTACATATATATTCTTCCACAACTGCGACAGTAAGGTATTTGACAGTACATATTTAGATATCAAACTGGCTGCATCGTTTGCTCGTCGGCTTCGATGACAGCACGTGGAGCCGTACAAGCTATGTAAGCAAAGGATCGCTACGCAAATCGAAATAGTGTTACATGTGTTTGGATATTTTCTCAGTGAAACTAATTCATTCTATTAAAGATGTTTAGTTAGATGTGTAGACTCGTCAAAAATAAAAGAGTAAAAGAAATCTGTACAATATATTGAATGGACGGTGCAAGATGTCACGAATCGTCACATTTTTCTGGCCTGTGGCAGAGGTACTATGCTGGCTTGCCGCATGGAACTCTAGGTAGGAGAGTGCCTTGAGCCATGAAGTTGGGGAATAATCACATAGATTTTGATTGTTAAACATATGCAAGACTTTTTTGATTGTGCTGCATTTCTTTTGTCACCTATTATGCTCATTTTCAGTCATTTGTAATCAGATAAATATTTTCTCAAAGAGTTCGATAGTCGAAAAAGCTGTCGGCAAGCCGTCATTTTGGGAAGCGGGAGTGTTTATTGTTTCAAAATGTTTTGTATTATTCTAAAATTATGTATTGTTTGTCTTGTCATGAACCTGTAAATAACTATTTATGAAAATTATAGGTGTGTAATGAATGGCAATACTAAAGATGGAAGGGGAAACGCTGAAAATAGTATGTCATAGTGTATGTACTGCGCTTGCTGACAAAATATAAAATTTGAGGTGCCTCCATATCTGAAAGTATTTCAGATATGTTTTTTTATATGATGACCGATTTTGGTGCTTTTATCATCAAATGCACAATTCTTATGAAAAATTGATCTTAGCCGCTCCACTATGAGTACTTGACGTGAAGTCCCCTTTCCGAGTGTTAGCAAACAGAACCTTCATTGCTTTTAACCCTTTACCGGCAAGTTACTTCAGACATATTTTAAAGTTCCGTTCGATGACATAACATTTCCAAGATAGTTAAATTCGTTAACGGTCTCCAGCTTTTCACCACCAATAGTCCATTAAATTTTAATATTGTTCTTCCTTTTTCAAATATCATGACCTTAGTTTTCTTCGCATTGATGGTTAGACCCCAATTTTTACTAAAAAAAATCCAAACTGTTTATGAGTTTTTGCAAAACCTCGGCCGAATGTGATAGAAGAGTCATATCGTCAGCAAAAAGGGTTAAAACAGATTTACGTAGTGAAGAATGATTCCCTCGTTGGTGTTTTCTTTAAGCCCCTGCTCCAGATCCTCCAGGAAGAAAGAGAATAATAACGGTGACATGCCTTCGCCTTGCTGTATCCCAGCTCCAACATTGATAACATCAGATAGTGTAGAACCTTTCTTAACACATGACTTCACCTCATTGTACATGGATTTTATTGACCATATTTTTAAGATTACATTTTATGGGTTTCTTTCTTATATTTTCATATTATTCATCTGATATGGGATAGCAAGGGAATGTAATCTTAACCAACTCATTGGGTGATTCACAAGAAAAAGGAAGAACGAAAAAAATTAAAGCGACATAAGGATCTAGGATTCGAATTCACTACCTCTGGGGGAACTAAGGACGTCCCAAAAGCACTAGGCCATCTCTGGGTATTCGAATTTCACTACCTGTGGAGGAATTAAGGACGCCCCCAAAGTACTAGGCCATCCATAAGGATTCAATTTCACTACCTCTGGGGGGACTATGGACGCCCCAAACCACTAAGACACCCCTAGAACCTTCTGTAATGAGCTCGTATCAGGAGATAAATGTTACGTGTCCCATGCGTGCTGGAGTATTCGATGTCCGAAGATTGTACTCGGAACGCCACGCTTGGGACTAAGATTAAGTTACTTCTAACGCAATATAGACAAGGATTCTCAACAAAATCGTCCTTGTACATGCGTTTAATATAATGAAGAGTTCCTTCAATAAAGGAGACCCGTGAAGGTCCGGGTTAGAATTGCTCTTCAGTAACCCATGCTATTCGTAAGAGGCGACTAACGGGACCAGGTGGTCAGGCTTGCTGACTGGGTTGACAGATGTCATCGTATCCCAATTGCGTAGATCGATGTTCATGATGTTGATCCCTGGATTGTCTGGTCCAGACTCGATTATTTACAGGCCGGAATATTGCTGAATGCGGCGTAAAATTAAACTCACTCACTCACAATAAAGGAAGTCATCGAGGGATACTATCGCGTTGGAAGGCCTAAAATAACACGTGAGCTACCTACGTCACAGTGGGATATCCCTTCAGCAGACGACACCGGTGCTATGGGTACGAGTGAAGAGATACCTCATAACGCTATAATTAGCACGCCTCGTTCGGGACTTTAAATGAACACATGATGTGTACCCTAACATCTGAGCACTATCAAATCACTTGGACAAATCTCAAGATCTAGGATGATGCCACAATCAGCATCAGCAGTGCACTGACGGGAGAACGGGTTCACTCGTCGTCAATGACGCCCAGGGACACAGTTGACAGTGTTGACTGTGAAGACAGGCGATGGATAGAATAATATAATGACATAGCTATCCTTCTGATTCCAGTCTGTCATTCAATACCCGCCCTTAGATGATGGTAATTTTATCGAGACGTTTGAATACCATAGTGCGCTGGTGCATGGTCTGTTCGTCAATGGAGCGGTGGGGTAGCCCAGTGGTCAAGGCGTTCGCTCGTCACGCCGAAGGATCTGGTTCGATTCCCCGCATGGGTACAATCTGTGAAGCCTATATCTGGTATCATCCGCCGTGACATTGTTGGAATATTGCTAAAAGCGGCTTAAAACCCAGCTCACTCACGCTCTCGCTGTTCGTCTAAGGAATAGGAGCGTCTCTCGCTTAGAAACAGCGTTAGGAAGACATATAGGTGTAAAGGCCTAACCCTATTATTATTCTATATAGTAATAGGGTTAGGTCTATACACCTATATGTCTTTCTAACGCTGTTTCTAAGCGAGACACTCCCTTATGGTCTAAGGCGCCGCCGCAAGTCGCTGTGCGGAGTTGCGACCCATAGGTACGCTAGAAAACTGATTCCGGTTTCGCCCCGATACCGTTTCCAGGTTTGTCAACACCATACCCGTATACAATGTTGTAAAATGTGTGATACATCGCCGTGATACATCGTGAGTAGACCCGTGGATATCCGGCTTAGAATTGGTCTTCAGTAACCTATGCTTGTCGTAAGAGGCGACTAACGGGCTCGGGTGGTCAGGCTCGCTGACTTGGTTGACACATGTCATCGTATCGCAAATGCGTAGATCACTCGATTATTTACAGGCCGCCGCCATATAGCTGGAATAGTGCTGAGTGCGGCGTAAAACTACACTCACTCACATCGTGAATACTGTTAAACCCCGCTCCCTCATTCACTCATTATTACTGTTAAAACGGACACAACAACAAACACCACAGGTATTTAAGAATAGTTTATAACAAAAAGTATGTATTATATATTTAAAAAATAATACGGCTATGGTGACCCTGGTGAATGGAGAATGGAGAGTCGATAGCTTGTGTTGGCTCTAGGAGGATTAATTCGTTGGTGAGCCCCCCTGTATACAATAACACTATACAGTAGCACGCAATAGCACTAAGCAACTCAGTAAGAAGCCAACCACGTATACACCTATCGATTGTAGTTTTGCATACCTTAAAACATGTGCTCAACGGAGTGAATATAAACCGGTATTACAGTTTCTGTGTATATCAACAACACCACACAAGCGTCAGGAATACAAATAAATTATTAATCTATTGCTGAAAGTCTTCCGATATAAGGTTCTTACGGAAAACTGGAAGGTGCCTCGCACACAATACTGCTGGTGAGGTATGTGTGTGATTCGTTCCTATATTGCTTAGCACGTGACGCACGTAGATCAATAAATAAGTAACATAAATAACCTCATTTCACGCCCCTCGACAGCAAAGTTAACTCCATCGAGAAATGACGTATTCAGACCGATTTGTATATACTCTAGGCCCAAACAAATCGTCGATATATCGCAGGAATCCTATTCGATCCAACTACAACACATATGTATAATGCCTCTAATCAAAAGTATATGTACCAAAATCTGTTTTTCTTGTCTGCAAAATCTAGCGATGGCTACAAAGGGCTCAGGGAACATAAATAAACATCGAGGGT